AGAAAAAATGGTGGCTTGATCTGGTGCACTGAACAAAACAAAAGAGGAAACAAAGTTGACATGGTGAATTCCATCTAGGGATGAGATTCGACAGTGGTTTAGAGGAAAAAGAAGAAAAGAAATAAATAAAAAATTATAAATATGGATAGAGAGAGTTAGGGGTAGGGTATTAGGGTTAAGAAAGAAGCAGTGGCATGTTAGTATTGGTGGTAGTTAAGGAGTGGTTATAGAGAAGGAAAAGGTTTATTTTGTGGTATATGTGAAGTTGATGGTGGAAGACAAAGTGAGGGCATGGCGCTTTGGGTAGTGTCAACTCAACAAAACCAGTGGTTGTAGGCTCAGTGCTTTACGAATAGATTTTGGTGGGTTAGGTCAATCAGGAAGAAAGAGTTGCAGAACAGAACCTCTGTTGGACCTTGCATGCTCCGTTCCGTACGTGCTTATGTTATCTCATTCACATACATGGACAAGAAGAAGGACTCAACAACAATTTTCAACCTTTTTAAATCCTTAAACGCAAATATTTTAAAGTCTGTGTCAATGCAATGCTTTTACTTCTGCTCTACTCCTAAAACGCACCTTATAGGACTCAACCCTACTAAAATCAAATTAAATGTATAACATTTTTCAAAGTAAATATTTTTTCCAATATTAAAATGCTTTCATTTTGTTTTGTCTGGTTGTCTTTCTTTCCTCTACAATATATTTTTTTTATCACTCTATTTTTTATTTTATTTTGAATTTCTCACTTCTTCCTCGTCTTGAAACATACTTTGCTGAATCAATTTTCAATTTCTCAGGGAAGACTAAGACAGTTATATTAGATCAATCAATAATACATTTACAGTATTATTGTTGAGAAAATAACTATTACATTACTATTCTTGGTTTACACAATTTTACTATTGGTTGTTGGAGATGTTCACCCCATAATTTTCATAATAGTAATAGTAATAAGAAACAGTTACATAATATAAAAATAGCTAGGATAGTGATTCTTAAAAGAGTTTTTTTTATTTAACATATAAAAAGAGTTATTTCTTGTTTTTAAGAATAAAAATTTAATAATAAAGGATAATATATTAGTATAATTTATACTTCTATTACATGTTAATATTTATATACATATCTATATATTACATGTATTATGCGTTGTAAGTAAAATGTGATTGATTGATATTTATCTTAAAGGGTTCATAATATTTTTAGATGAATTTTGTAATCATTAGTTATTTATATTTTTAATGATACAAATATAAATAATTATGTATTGCATATATTTGACATAATTTTGTTTATACAATATTTGAAACATTATTAAATTTTGGTACATATTTTGTATTATTTTATGTACCAATTGATAAATTATCTTTCTAATGGGTGTATTTATGGTATCATCATGTTTTGATCACTAAATAGTTATAAAGTTGAAATCATGATAGCAATGATATAGCTAACTATTATTAGGTAACTGAAAGGTCAAACATGTTGGGATGCAAGAAATTTAGCAATACTTTTATTAATGATAAGCAAAGTTGTCAACAATGTACTAATTTTGTGAGACAATTTATTGTTACTTTTATGGCGGCTTAGATACTAATATTTGGTTTTAAAAACCATGAAAAGAAGATTGTGATTACATAAAGGCCTATATGACTAAATGTTTTCACTGTAAAGTTTCTTTTTGAAAAACATTTTCTTTAATATACATCACCTAACAAGTATGTCTCATTGCTTAGCATATAAGAAATATTTTCCATTCAAATGAATAATAAATCGTGTATTATGATGTGAAACAAAAGATTTGAATTTTTTTTCTTTTATACAATTTGTTGTTCAGGGAACATATCAGTGGATCATTAACATATGACTATTAATGATAAGTTCAATATATAACAGTATAATAATAACTAAATTGAAGTTAGGAATATTCGATATGATATAAAATTATTCTCTAAATACGAAATTCCTATATTTTTATTTCCTTATAGGAATAAAAGTTTAGTTGTAATTAAGAATAGTTTTTAACATCTTTCTTAAGATTTGAAGTAATTATAATCAATATAAATATTTGTGAGAGATAGAAGTAAATTTGAATATAGTATAACACACCTCTTTTTGACTTTATTTATAACCAAGTGCATATGTGTTCAGTGGAGAATAATACTCTTAAAATTGGGTAAGAGGAAATTTAAGTGAGCTTTTACTAGTTATTAAATTTGATTGGTTGATGGGCATAATGAGATAATGATAAGTTTTAGAAGATAAAAATAATAAAGGAGAGTGATAAAGTTGCAGAGAAAGGTGGTGGAAATCTGCAACACCGGCGCATGAGACCTATGGCAGGAATTCCGAACCGCACGGCTCAAGCTAGCATAGAACAGTGATAGCCTGCACCTACTTGGCTACTTCACCAACATTTCTTACACTCGTCTCGTAATCATTATTACTATTATAATAATCATTCACATCGCTATCATTGCAAACTAATTTTCATCACCACGGTATCCGATGTTTTTCTGTTTTTTAATGTTCTTTATCTGGGTTGAATCAGATTTGATTTAATATGAGTATAATTCAACTTTAATATTTTAAAATTTATATTGATCATTTTAATTTATTGTGTAAGTCTGATTTGAGATATTGGAATATGAGTTTATTCAGTTGGATTTTTCAGATTATAAATTTATATTAAATTAAAAATTTTAATCATTTTCTTTTTGTTAAAAATAAGTGACATATGTTCAGTCCATCTTTAACTTAAAAAAAATATATCTATGACTTTAATAATGATTATTATAATAATTTGTGATTTACTATTAAATTTTAACAAAATAATATCATATAAAAGTAAATTTTAAAATTTATATATATTTACAAATTTATAAATACTAAAATATAATTTTAATTTATTATTTAAATTTGACTATAATTATTTATTTCACTTTATTTTATTTATATAATATATTTCATTTATCCAATTTAATTTAACTGTATATTTAAATTTATTTTAAAATTTTCTAATTAATTTTTTTTCTTAGTGTGTCAAAACATATCACTATGTCTCATCCACGATATATTCGTCACTTAGTAAGTTAATCCAACCTAATTCATTTATTAGTGATTTAAAAAAAAATTGAATCTGATATGGGTAGGTTAAACCGATTGATTTATTAGTTCAGTTAATTATAATTTTTTTTCAAATCTCAAAAAAATTGTAATTTAAATCTAAATAAATTTCATTCTAAAATGATGTTAAATTTCAAAAAGAGTTTAAAATGAATAAAAAGAAGTAACAAATAATCCAAATGTAATCAAAAGCAAGTACAAAAAGGGAACAAATAAGTTTCTAAAATTGATCATTTTAGTGTCACTTATCCATTTATAATATTAGAGTCTTTGAATAAATAAATCCATAATATTTTTCTCTCTTGGAAACATATTTTTTTATCCCCATCTATAACATAATAACAAAAGTGTTAACTAATAATATTAAAACATAAATTATTAAATAATTAAATTAAATTAGGTAAGACCACGAGTTCAATTCGAGTGAACTGGATTCTAAATAAGTCGAGTTGAAAATTAGCCCATATCACAACAATGACATTTTTTTCAAACCTAAAAAACCACAATTCGTGATGAGTCAGACTAATACGTAGATTCTAACCCATTTTTGCAATACTAGTTCTAATTTTGAGGATACATTTCGTTCGTTTCAATACAAATTTTATAATTTAAATTGTTTCTACATCGAATACGAATATTCATTAAATTAAATTTAGAATAGTACCACTCACCAGATAAATAAATATTAAGAAGTTATTTGTACTTCATCCTACAATTAGGTTTTTAAAGTTTTCAAAATGACTCCACCGATAAGAATTTTCATAAGCATATTACTGTTGAGACAGATAAAATAATTAATTTAAAAATAAATCAGGTACTATTTAAATAATCACGCAATAATTAAATTTTCGTTGAAAAGAAATACTATTTTAATTTTATTTACTAATATATTTGATTATATATTCAATTTTATGAATATCTATAATCACAATTTTGAAATGGATTCCCTTTAACATTTATTTTATTTTATTTTTTTATTTAAAGTTTCACATTTCAAATTAAAAATATATAATTGATGTTTTATTCTAGGTTTAATACATTATTTGGTCCCTACTTTTAGGAGTTTGGTTCAAAGTAATCCTACATTTTAAAAAAGTTCAATAAGATCCCATATTTTGTTAAAAAATGTTAAATCCGGTCCTTTTCGCTCACGCCGTTAAAAACATAACGGTGCAAATGTCACTGTGGCACACGTTAATAGGTGGACTTAAATGATTTTTTAACTTAAAAAAAAAAGGTCTCTGCCACGTCATATTCACCATCTCCAGACAAACCCTAATTTCTCTCCAAGAAACCCTAGCCGTCGCACCATTCAGCGCCCATCCTCGCCGGCAGCCGTCCTCTCCAATGCATCACACGCCACCACCAAAGCTATACGACAAGAACGCGAGAAATCCTAGGTCTCCACGGTTTGCTTGCAGGTCTGATTGTGGCACTAGTAAAAAAAGTCTTTTTAAGGCGTTATATACGCCTCAGTTTTACCAAAACCGAAGCGTATAAAAGCGCGGTGGCATTTTCGTAGTTTTAGTGAAGTTATATGCCTCGGTTTAAAAGAAACTGAAGCACAAGATGTCTACTACCTCGGTTAAGCCAGAAACCGAAGCATAAAGTTTTGACACGTACCCTCTGGTCCTCTGCAAATCAGCTGACAAATTGACAAACTTTCTGAAAAACACATACTTCGGTTACAATCAGAACCGAGGCATATAGGTTCAATATATTTTCAAAATTGCCATTATATTTTTCATTTTTTATTATTTTCTGATACAATAGGCATTGGTTAAGCTGAAGAACCGAAACAATATGGTTATATTACCTCGGTTATATTTTGAACCGAGGCAGTATAGGTTCTGCTTGAACTAATGACCTAATTAAGGGTTCAGCTTTTTTTCCCTTTCTGATTCCAAGTGGCCCAGATCCTCAATTCCTCCTCTTTCCCTTGAACACGCTAGCTGAAGCTTCTTCCCTTTCTCTTCTTCATTTCTCGCGACCACGAGCAGCGAAAGCGCTGTGATGGAGGTGAGTGGCCAGCGAAGACGTGGTGAGGCGCGACGAGGTCGCGTCTGATAGCGGTCGCGCTTCCGCGAAGGTTCCAACTCCGACTCCTTTGATGGCGACGACTGCGCGAGGACGTTGGTCGTTCTGATTCGCAGCGTAAGTTTCCTTCTCCTCCTTCTTCCTCTGTTTTCGTTTCAGTTTTAGGGGTTTCCTGTTTCGTATAAGAACGCGTGTTGGGTGCGAATGGGGATTCAAGACAGACGAAGGCGGCAGTGGTGCATTGCGAGGAAGGCGGCAGCGAAGTGAATCGTTTTTCGATTTGGCATTTTAGGGTTTCTGAAATTGAGAATTGGAGAATTAGGTTTTTCATTTTTAGATTTGGGGTTTCTGTTCTTGTTTTTGATCTCTGTACCTCTCAACAAAAAGATCGATGGTGTCTTCGAAAGCCTTGGGATCAAGAAGCAGCCTGGTTATGTCCTGAAACAAAATTCCTGGCTTGGGAAAATCAGGTATGACTCGGATTGCAGAGGAGATTCTCTCCAAGTGCGGGTCTTGTTCATCTTTAACGTTTTTCATAGCCATTCTGGTCACTCGTTTAGCGGAAGAAGTGGAACAGTGGAGGACGGTGGATAGAGGGTTGAAAGAAGGTCATGAGAAAGGGAGGAGTGGAGCGGTGGACGTTTTTTGTTCAAAGATTTTATTCCAGGTTCTTGGCAGATGGTGAAAACAAAGCAAGAAGGCCTTCAACCTAGGGAGACAGGGATTTCATTTCAAATTCATTTTTGGGCTTTTGTCTTTGCAATCTTGATTTTTTTCAGTTTCGGGGTTTGAAATTAGAATCTAGAATTGAAATCAGAACCGAGGCACAAAGGTGGCTAAAGAAGGAAAAAGAAAGAAAGACCCTACTGCCTCGGTTTAGGTTCCAACCGAGGCAGTAGAGGGGAACAAAGTAACTCGGTTCAGAACCGAGGCAAAGAGTCTACCACTTTTTACCTCGTCTGGATATGCCTCGGTTCAGGAACCGTTGTCTATGGGCGAAAATGACCGTTGTCGTTTCCTCCTACTGCATTAGTGTGGTTGCAGGTGGACGCAAGCAGCAGTGCGATTAGTGGTGGAGAAGAGTGGTGATTCGCGATCTGCAGCAGTTGGCGATTTGGCTGGTGTTTAGTGGTGGACGATTCTGTGGTGGAGATTGGACGGTAGTACTACTGGCGCGATGACGATTTGGCTGGTGCAAGGGTGAAAATGGTGAAGATTGGTGGTCGCAGCATAACAAGGGATCACGTTGGGTGGTGGCACGAGAACGAAGGTGAGATGCGAAGGTGATGGAGGTGCAACAGAAGGGAGAAGACACTTTGGTGATGGCGCATGATGTGTTGGAGAGGATGGCTGCCGGCAAGGATGGCGGTGATGACGCTGGATGGTGCGGCGGCTAGGGTTGCTTGGAGAGAAATTAGGGTTTGTCTTAAGATGGTGATGATGACGTAGCATTTGCACTGTTATGTTTTTAAAAGGCGTGAGCAGAAAGGACCGGATTGAACATTTTTTAAGGAAATATGGGGTCTTACTGAACTTTTTTAAAAGGTATGATTACTTTGAACCAAACCCCTAAAAGTAGGGACCAAATGATGTATTAAACCTTTATTCTAATAAACATAGTTGTAAATGATTTTTTTCATTCTTATATCATAATATATATATATATATATATATATATTATTTTAAATGTTTGAAAAATTTATGCATTTAATATTTTATAAAGAAAAGCATTTAATATTTTAAGGATAGAAAAGAGATACTACCGGCATTAAGATTTACTTGACTTCCACCATTAATTTCTGGAGTGATTCTCCCTGCACTTCACCAAGTTCATCCTGCACCTCCTAATTTTGTTTTAATTCCAACTGTACCCCTACCCTTAACTCTACTTTTGTTATGTCAGTGACCATTGATTTTCTAAAATTGTTGACTCTTCCACTCATAAAATTGAAACTTTTCCTTAGCTGCATCTCACTTTAAACCCTACACCCCTGCTTCTTTCTCCTCTTTGTGGCATCTCATGTGAAACCCTACCCTTGAGTCTTTCTTCTTTCTCCTCTCTATGGTTCTGCCCTTCTCCCTCCTTTTTCACAATTTTTTGAACCTGAGTGCTCTTCCTTCCCCTCTGTTCAGTTTTTTGCTCACTATTTTTCGTGTTGGTGCCTTAGCTCTCGTCCCTCGTTTCTTCAATCGTTGGTGTCATGGTTGCAGGGTGTCTTCTTCTTGTACATCAACGTCCAAGTTAGTTATTTTATTTTGATTTGCGGTTGTTCTTTAGTATATGTGGTGGGGGAAAATGATATAATGTTTGTGCTTATATCTGTTTTGATCTGGGCGGGAGTTGTAGGCCAAACCGCACATAAAATTACAGTTAATGGCCGTCGCACTTAGAAGTTCGGATATGGTTGTGCCGTAGTTGGATCTGTGTGAGACAGTAACTGCAGGTGGATTTGCGGTTAGTTTTTGGAGGTGCATGGCTGCCGACGCACTGGGAAGTGCGGATCTGGGTTTTCCGCAGTTCGAACTGCGGCTAAGGCCAACCACAGTTCGATTTGCGGCTGTATATTTTGATTTAAGGTCTATATGGTTTCGGTCCTGGACTGTGTTATTTTTTTATTAAGTTAGTATATTTTATTTTAAGAATTTTTTGTTTTGTTTGTAAAATTTGACTTTTTTTTGTTAGGTTATAAGCTTAAATGAAGAACTGCAGAATACAATATAACAATGCACTGAAGAACTGAAGGAGTGAAAAATGAAAGTCAGAAAAATAACAGTGAAGGGGGTGCATGTACAGTAACAATGATATTTAGGGTTTATACCATTTAGGATTGTTGAAGGTTAGGAAGATTGCTGGTGGTTGAGAAATCATTAAGTAAATGAGGGCAAAAGTGTAAAATGGGAGGTGCAGGAAGAAGGAGGTGAGGTGCATGGAGAACTGCTCTTATTTCTGTCTTTATTCCAACTTTAAAAATGGGTTATTATTGAAATTGAGAAATAGATATATGAAATATTCCATAAAATGATTGAAGATATTCTTCTAAAAATAAATAGATTCTTACAAGAAAAATATATACCAATCATTTATTTATTTAAAAATAAATATTCAATTTATCATTGAGATCTACCAAATATTATTTATTTTTTAACTATCTTTTATATATCTTCAAATGTAATATTCCAAAATATAGTATTAAACTATAAGGAAATATCATATAATCAATATAATAAATTAATTAACATACAGAAAAATAAAGTTATTTACGATCATCTAAGTGACCATAAAAGAAATTTAATATACAAAAAAATTAAACAAAAATATATACATGGCAGCTAGCTAAAGATAATAACACATATGTAGATCCTATCTCCAAAGCTTGCTCCACCGTCACCTCATCACCATCTGCTTACACCTACAAATGATCATAGCCAAGACAATCAAAACATAAAAACATATCAATGAAATACAAGGAAAATATTAAGCTAGATCATATTCCACTTAAAGCATTGTATACATGAATAATATATAGCATGAATGAAACCAAACATCTTAACATGCAAGGACCTAGACTAGACTATTCGGATATAGTATGAATGTCGAGTTATGGTGGGTTGTGCATTTGTGGTGACCTCTATTGTTTTGCAAAGCCATTACCAATGGGATCCATCCTACCACAATCACAAGGTTAGTCCGTATTGCATCTTAGGTCATACTAGAAGCACCTAGACTAAGACCTCCTGCTACTCTCATCACATGTGTCAATCTTCTACTTGAGAATGAATGACCATTAAAGAGTTAATATAACCCCAAGACTGAGCTACCTGCATTCATACTAACACTACTTGAAACATTCAACAAAGGGTTCCTTCTTGGAACTCATTTCCAAACTTTCATTTGGATATATAATTAAACATATCACTTCATATATCACGATATAATTCATAATAAACCATTACACATGCATCAAAAGGTCCAAATAGTGCATTAGAAAACACAAAACACCCTAAAACTGAAAACCCAAAAACCTACTTAAGGACGCGTATCGCTTGGAGAAAAGGCGCCTAGGGGGCGCTCGAGATTGCTCAACGCCAAACCCCATTAGAATGGGGTGCCCAGGCGCGCATAGGCGAATTCTTCTTGGTAAAAGGAGCGCTTAAGGACGCATAGGGGGTGCTCAGTGCTACACTAGATTATGATCTACCTTAAATTTGATCTTTGCTACCCTTTGTCCAAGTTTAACTGATCCCCAATACCTTCTAGACACTGAAAGACATCTTAAAACTCCTCTCTAACTCCAATTAGCTACTTCAAACCTAACTTGACTACTTTAAACTTACCCAAACTCAAATATCCTACTTATAACACCAATTTCAGCAAACCAACAATTAGAATAAATGACTCAAACAAAGACTCTACACTCCCCAAATCAGTCACAACCTCTTACTTCAAAATTTCACTACTCAAACCTCACATTTGAGCTTAAAACCACTCAAAACTCAACCAAAAGACTATCATCTATTCATATTTCAGATTCTAGTTATCTTACCACTCTTACAAGTCTCAAATGCCACCAAACCAACATTGAAATACCAGATTGCTCAAACCATGAAATACCAGATTGCTCAAACCAACCCTTATCTCACATATTTGTCCCTTAAAACCTCCATTTTCATTCACAAAAACCTATGTATTTGTCAACTCCTTACTCCTTAACTTAGCATTCAATTCCAATAATCTAATATCACTTAATTACATACCATCTGACAACAACAATATCAAAACCACACATTACCAAACATCCAAGCATCATTCTATCAATAATCATCATCATCCAAACACAATAAATATTAGAACAATTTTCATAATTTCATTTAAATCATCTTATCACTACCGAATATACTAAACATACACAACGAACATAATCTAAAGAAAGGACTAACTTCCCTTACCTTAAAAGAAAGTTGTCATAACTCTAAAAACGCCTCACCGATTGCTTGAAACACAAGGAACTCTAAAACACCTACGAAATACCGAATTGAAAACGGAATGAGCTTATAGTACCTTAGATTGCCAAGGAACTAAGAGAAGGAATCTTAAAACACATGCGACGAAAGATTGATACGCATGATTTCAAATTTAAGAACGAAAGAGAAAAAGGAGTTGAAACTTACTTGCTATATACTAGAAATTAAGCGGATAGAAGTGGAGATTACTCCGTCGTGATCTCGTAGGAGCTTCTTGATCGTCAAATAGATGATCGAAGATTAAAATTTTTAGAGAGAACCGAGAGGAAGTTAAGAAAGAGTTTTAAAGAGATGATTTGTGTTTTAAGTAATGAGACGAGTTTAAGAAATTATATTTATTTTACTAAATTATTTTAACTTTAAAACATTTAATCTCATTATTTTAAAACATCTATCCACTCTAATACTCTTTTTTCTAGGTTCTTACAACAAATACCAAACATATTATAAGATTGCAATTATATAATTTTTTAACTGTCTTACTAACATACAATTTATTTCCTAAAATACAATTTCTAGAA